CGATTTCCCCCAACGGAAACCATACAGAAGTGACACAGAACTCTGGTGTCTACCAAGCCTGCGCAGATCCGCAACACACCCTCCAGTCAGGCACGTATGTAGCAAATCCAGGACTTTTTGTTGTTATAAATATATTACATGGACAATAGTCAAACATGCAAAACTTCAAATTAGTAGCTTTAAGTATAAGAGTTTTAACTTTCCAAACTTAGAGTTAAAATTTCCAATATACCCGAGCTATTTGTGCAAAGGTGAAAGAATGTAAAACACACACTGGTGCACATCTGAGAAGTGAGCTAATTCTGAATGGCTGCACTTTGGTACCTTCTTCTTCAGATGGTCTTGTTACCTCACTGCAGCAGGAAAAGCTGGGGTAGAGCTCAGAGATCTCGGACTTGTCATCTCCCAGACCTGTACCAAAAGTGCTGCCAGAATGAGAGCGAGACAGGTGTCTCTGGTACTGACTCGCCTTTTCTACATCAGAGGGAGAACAGTCAGACACAGGAATGAGTGGTTTATACAACAGACAAATTCCTTAAATGTTTCACAGGAAAGCAAAAACAAACCCCAATTAAACAATAACCCCGCATCTCTATCCTAAGGTTCTAGTCAACTATCCCAGACTTCGCATGACCTGCTTCACATGCAAACAGCACATGAAAGACATTTCCTCTCACTTAATCTGGCTTTATTAAGAGACATAAAGGATAGTGGATGGACAATAACTAAGCAAGCATCGGGAAAGCATTCTTTAAAAGCAAACCTTTGCTTTATACACTCTTGCTTTCAAGTAGCCCTATGCATATAGTATTCACATTTTGTTTCTTTTGAAACTATGAAGTTGGGTAGTAATTTTGAGACCATATTTGTTAAATATGGCTTAAAAGTCTACATGTTTAATCGTGCTGTCGCTACACCAAATCATTCATTTTCCCCTTTTAGCGACATACATGTCATCTAAACTCGGTCAGGTAAGTCCCCATGAGAACTACTCATTTTATAACACATAAGAATTTAGAGATAAATGCTAAATACCTGAAGGTTTAATTTGAAAGCATACATGACGCTGCAGAGAAACCTTTCTATTGTACTGTGTAATTTTTGAAACCTGACTCTAAAATATTGTAACACTTTATTTCATGAAACAAATCTCCTTTTTGTCCCAGAAGCTCTTTGCAATCCAAATAACAAGATATGTACTCCCAGAAAGCCTATAGAATCATATTTACCAATGAAAGGCAAATGTAAGTATACCCTAAACACCATTTTAAATGAATCTAGGACAAACTAATGTAGGATTTATTTCCAAGCTCCTTTGTAAGTTTTGCTTTCATAAATAACTAATGTTATTTTAAAGTGATATAGTACATTTCTTGGGTTTTCTGAATTCTCAACTTTAAATTGACACAGCATGTTTACCACATGATTCATCATGATTAACTTTCAGGACAAAGCTCAGGGAAACAGAGAGGAACTCAAACAGTACCAGAGAGCATATGGAGACTTCTAGACTGAATATTGTCCTCCAGGGGGTCAATGTCGAAGATGGAGCCAGGATCTGTGCGCCACACTTTGAGGTCTTTCACCAAAAGGAAGAAACCAAGAGATCAAGAGGGAACTTTGGGCCCCCATCACGGCAGTCACTCAGGCAAAGGCAACACACTGAAGGCAGCCCACAGTCCCAGCAGTATACCGTAGAGCTCAGAAATGGAGAAGGGGTTGGGGGCATGTCACAGGTAGCTCCCAAGGAAAGTTTGACACCAAATCTGAGCAGCATGGCTTCTTCACTGCCCAGCATAGATGGCAACATAAAGCAACCATGACTCCACCCAAGGCAGGTTGACACAAAGCCCCAACACTCCTTGCTCCACCCAAGACCAGTCAACATCTGCTTAAAATTTCTAAGGACACCTGAGTATTCATGGGAAACACTGAAAGGATTTTGCTTAAAGTCCTTCTTTCCCTGTAACAGGAAAGAATGCTGGAAATGTAAATGAGTGGCAGGTCCAGTTTTCTTTCAAAGTGTGAGTCTGTGGGAACAAATAAAGCCATATAGGACACATTTATCACCAATTCTGTAGGAAGGATTCTAAAAAGGAACCATGAGGGATGGAGGACAGAGGTGTGAGTAACAATGATTTCTGCCTTCGGTGCCGTAGATTAGCTTGTTTCTGGGTTCAGTGGCATACTATGGACAGAGTTCGTTTCTTAAGTGTCCCCCAAAGATCCATGTAGTGCAGCCCTCTTCATTAGCCTGTGGCATTATTCAAAGTGGTGGAAACTTTAAGAGGTGATCACTGGTAGGAGAAAGTGAGATAACTGGGGAAGTTCCCTTTAAGAATATCTTGGGACAAGCCTACCCAGCCTCCTTTGCTTCCCAGTGGCTGTCTCCCTCTGTCACACTCTGCTGGCCATGATGTGACACTGCCACAGATCCAAAAAATAGAGCCACATGACTCTGGGCTAAAACTTCACACTGTTAGCCAAATTAACTCATTTCTCTTTTAAGATGATTTTGCAAATATTTTTCCCAATGACAGACATCTGACTAGTAGACGTGGAGACCCTTGCTGCAGGCAAAATTCAAATTTAATAATCTCTGAGTGTATGTGTTGTTACAATTGTTGGACCTAAGAGGGCTGTGTAGTGATAACAACTGGAAAATAAGTTCCCAGCTATGACATAAATAAAGTGAGGTTAAAACAACATATTTAGCGAACCAAAAGCAAAGGCTTTCTTACCAATTATATACTGTTGACTAATGCCAAGCACTATTCTCTATTATGGCATATCTCATTAAGCATCATATATACTTCTGCAGCACTGATGCTATTACCATTTCATTGGTGAAGAACCTGAGGCTCAGACAGGTTGAGTAACTTTGCCAAGTTCATCCAGTTGGGAAGCAGTATGTACTTGTATTTCCATACATGGAAGAGGCCCTAGCTCACTGGGAAGTTTAGTATTGGTTAAATGTACTTCATTTTATCATTTCATAAGTGAGCTTTCATGGACACTGATTTTTTCCATATGAAAAAATAAACTGACTTCTGGATTACCCAGCAAAGAAATAATTTTTAGTTATAAATCTCATATTTAAAAAGTACTGATAACTGCTATTGCAAACTCTGAGAGCCCTGTCTCAACAGTTTCATCATTTTTAGCAATGATTTCACTATCATTCTTGGTCCCTGATGATTGTAAGACCCCAGGATAAAATGAATCATACCACTCTCTCTGATGAGTTATTAGCACAAATCAATGAAACTCACTACTTCTGCATTATTCTTACTGAAAACATCACAATTCATCCATCCATCTTACTATGACCCCAGTAAGTAATCAACCCAGAAGGATGAGTAAAGCCTGCAGAGAGGTCTGGAGTGTTTCTTTGGAAAATACACAGTTTCGCTTTGGTAATGATCCAAGTCACTTGGGGCTCTGATAGCACTCTTGCTTTATACTGCTGCTCTATTAAAGACATGCTTCCCCACCTAACTCACCTTTCTGTACCCTTTCCCTGCTATTATCCTCAAGCAGAAGCTCTTCTTCCCTAAGAGAGAAGTAACCTAACAGTGAGGTTCCTGAGAAATATATACCATGTGTGGTGGTTTGAATAAGCATGGCCTCCATAGACTCGTGTATTTGAATGCGTGGTCCATAGGGAATGGCACTATTAGGAGGTGTGGCCTTGTTGGAGGAAGTGTGTCACTGTGAGGCGGGCTTTGAGGTCTCCTATGCTCAAGCTATGCTCAAGGTGGCACACACTCTCCTTCTGCTGCCTATTGATCAATCTACAGAGCACCATGTCTGCCTGCACACTGCCATGCTTCCAGCCATGATGATCATTCAGACTAAACCTCTGAAACTGTAAACCAGTCCCAATTAAATGTTTTTCTTTATAAGAGCTGTCATGTCATGGTGTCTCTTCACAGCAATAGAAACCCAAACTAAAACACCACAGTTGCCAAAAGCTCTCTGACTGGGATGGCTTGCATTGTCAATTTGATAGTGTCTATAATCTCTGTGGAAGCAAATATCGAGACCCCTGAGGGGTTAGGTCAACTGAAGTGGGAGGACCCACCCTACCACAGGTGGCGCTGTTCTATAAGTTGTGACCCTGGACAGTATAAAAAGGAGAAAATGAGCTGAACACAAATACCCATCACTCCCTGCTTCTTAGACGGGGAAGCAGTGTGACCAGCTGCCTCAGCTACCCCCACTATAATGTTGTGAGATAGACTGTGCCCTCGAACTGTGGACCAAACCAAATCCTTCCTTAAGTTTCTTTATGTGTTTTGTCACAGCAATGGTGAAAATAATGGCATAGTTGAAGTAAATATAAAAATTCAGAGACTAACTATATATATACATTTTTATAAAGCAAGGCTAAACTTTTGATCTATACTGAAATTCAACGATTTTTTTTCCTTTCCAGCCTGCTTATACTTCAGTCTGATTTCCACTGATATCTCAAGCCACATTCCCTAGGATTCTCCTGGACTGAATGTAAGGAAAAGACACATGAAGAGAGGGTTCCTCTATAAATAATGGGGCTTTCATGTAGCCCTCAAATATCCTAGTTTAGAAACACTATTCAAAACCACAAATGACTCCTGTTAAGACTCTCTGTTTAATGACAAAAGGTCATAAGTGGGAAATGACTAATTCTGTCTCCCATGTACACAATGTCTCCAGTGTAACACTTCTACCAAGTACACAAGCTAAAGGAAGCAAAATGTTCAACCTTTGTAACCACCTCTCTCTGGGATGCTACTGTTTAACAAGGCAATATTAAACAGAACTTTTGAGAAAAGAGAATATTGGCAATGTTATTTTCTGAACACCCTGGATCCCTTTCATCACAGAGAGAAAGCATTCTGCCTGTGATCTTCTTAGAATTTACATCAAGCCGGTGAAGTGAGATGAATACAGAAGATAGTTCTAGAGTAGGCAAAACCTTTTGACCACACATGCCCTCAAGAAGACCAGACGCTCACCAACAATGATCCCTGGTCTTCTGTCCATCTCCACAGCATGGGGCTGGACACCCTTATAGGCAGCATCGCTCACAACCTGGGTGTTCTTCCTCACCCTCTCCGTCACAGGGTCGTCCACGACAGGAGTGAAGCCCCTTCCCTTTGTCTTCTCAAAATCTTCATGGTATTTAACCTGAAAGAGAAAAACTATTATTAATGTAAGCCGAAATTCCTGATCATCTCACAATGTTTTTAAAATAACAGGTCACATGAAGCACATCTGGATTATTACGTATAACAAATACAATATAGTGTGATTTAATATATGTTCCCAAATAGTCCAAAAACAATGGCGGAAATCAGTGCTGATATTTTATATTTTTAAACACTATAAATAGTATCTCCTTTAAATGGTATGTAAACCTGTACATCAGTAGAATATAAATGACAATTACTTTAAAACATTAGTTACTTCCTAAAACGCACAATTTAACTACAGATTGACTTCCTATCTTTTCACCTTCAATATGCAATAGTGATATTGTTTGGGTAACAGTGCTATCAGATTAAGAAAGTTCTCTATGTTCTATAAAATTTTATATATAATTACAAACAGTTATGTATATTATAAAAATACATTCTTTTCATGTTCTGAAATTCAAAGGGGGCAATAATTATACCACATTGAAATTATATTATCTTGAACTAAACACTTTAAGTGGGTGGACTTCATGAAAAAAAAAAAAAACTTACAACATGAAACAGTTTTGAAACACACTAAAAAATATTCTTTAAAATGTGTAAATATACCAAAATCTGTCTTTAGATTAAGTGAAAAACAAAGTCTAGGAAAATATCATTCACAATATGCATTTATAGTAGCACAATTAGAAATAAGAGCACGCCAAAAATCGCTGAGGGGAAATTATTTTATTAGATAATATTTTCATTACATTTCAGTGCAACTCGAGCCTTAATGAGCGCCGAGGGCTCATTCACATTCCCATGCTTTGTTAGTTGTGCAGATTACTAGTGAGCTAATGCCATCCAAACACGGGTCTTGCCATTCCTTAGTATGTTTTAGTCACGGAGACATGATCTGTCGCATCCTACCATGGAAGCATGATTTTGTGCTTCTTTAACATGTCTCAAAGCAGGTGTGTCTACGATCAGACACGGTCTACCTTTCATTTGTTTGTGTTCCTGAGTGTATTTCACCTGCAAGAGAAACAGGAGGCAACCATATAACTGGATTTGCATAACTTTAAAAAAGCTTTTCAAATGGGTGAATCACATGAACCTACTCAACACTTCCCAGCTAACTTTTCCTTCAGTGGATTACATTTGGTTCCACAAGAGTCACCTAAGATGACACTCTTGATGATTTCCTTAAAAGTGACTGTATGAACGACTTAAGTCTGTCAACAGGAAACAAACGTGTGTCCAGCACTCAGTGAAAACACTTAGCACGTTTAAAGAGGCAAATAATGCTTGAGGTAGAACCTGAACACATTTCCTCTTTCTAGGTAATTTTCTGCTCTCAGTGTTGAGAAAACACTGATGTCTTCTGATTTCCTTTATTTTTCCCTCCCTAGAGAATGAGGGACAACCAGGAACAAATCTGTGTTTTCTTTTGAGCAGCTACACCTTGAAGACAATTGATGCCGAACATGCCCAATATCTCTGGGCAGAATGGCTGTAAGAGAGATGTCAGTCATGAATCTGAATCCCAAATGCTGACCCCAAGGCATGGCGATCCTGCAGCTGTGCTGTGAGCAGGGCCCTGACACTCAGCTCTGCAGGCCTCGGAGGGAATCCTGCCGTGGAGTCTGGGATCATAAGGCAATGAACACTCACTGCAAACAGCTTTCCTGACGGAACTTTATATCAATGCACTAAATCTTTTTATGGTCTGTATTCTTATTTTGAATTGCTAATTTTTAAACTCATCTTTGTAGAAAGCACTCGTGATCAGTGAAGTACAGCAGTGAAATTACATTTTTAACTTATACATCAAAGACAGTCAGATTCAAAGATTCTGGTTAAAGTAACATGAGGCCACTCCTTAAATAAACTACAGCTATAACTAGCTGTCCCACCAGGGAATATTGATGAGGGATTGTGCAATAATGTTAATTACATGGTGAAAGCTTTTGGAATTCATCTGTAATAGCATATGTGTTTATTGGAAATAAATTTTATTCTTAAGACAATAAACAATGCAAGTAAATTATAAAGGATACATCCTTAGCGATGGTCCAAAATGAATTAAAACCACTTGCCGAGCTAATATTTTCTTGATTCTTCTTTACTCTTTCCATTTCAGGAGTTACGCTTAAAGCTGTAGCCCTTCCCAGTTGACCTTTATAATAAACCTACCATTTCAGAGAAGAAAAATAGAGGATTGTGAATCACTTCAGAAAAAAAAGGAGAAAAAGAAGAATCATGTCATATTTAATTTTAAAGGGCTAGCCAAGGAAGGGAACTCATTAAAACAAAGGAGAAAGTGGGGAGAGGGCGGAAGAGGGGACTTAAAATGCTTTCATCTTCAAGCATCTATTTCATTTTGGCATGGCAGCGTACCTTTTCCCAATCACTGTGGATAGGCTCAAATATATCACCAGTAAGCCGCAGTGAGCCTTTAATCACGATGGGCAAGAGAAGAAATGTTTTGTGGATATTACAAGTCTTCTTTGAATAGAATGGTATTTCAGAGTTGTGTTTTATCAGAAATTAATTACAGCAGGGCCTTGAAAGGCTTTCTCTCAGTAGGTGACAATGGCAAGCCATGTAAAGAGAGCACGCCTCCCTATATTCCATCATCCTTCTCCCTAACTACATTCTTTCTTTAGAGTAATTGAGTCCCATCAAGTACAGCTAGAAAGGAATGAGCACTCCTCCTCTAAAAACAGATAGCTGTTAGTATGTAATGACAACCTGCCTTTGGGTCATAAACTGGCCAGCTGGCTTTATGAGTTGGAGGAATAAATGATTTCTTTGAAGACAGTAGATTTCTGAATTTCCTCTTCTAAAGAATCCATTTCGTATGTTAATGATTTCCTAAGAGGATGCTCTCAGTGAACTCTGGGTGGGTTATATAAACAGAGGGATCTAGAATAGTCCGTGAGACTAAGTAAAAATGCTGCCTTGGGCTAAGTACCCATTAACTGCTCCATTTCACATGATTTATTCAGTCAACCACATATACTTCACCATTTCCCCCCAGAAACATAGTAGTAATCATCATGAATGAGAGAAAGGGCTCAGAGGGGTGAGACAAACAAGAACTCAGGCAGGTAGGAAGACTGCAGGACTAAGATGGCAGGAACTACCTTGCCTTGCTTAGGGAACCACAGCAATGAGCAGCATGAAAATGAGATGAGAAGAACATGCCACAAATTGCAGGACAGTCAACACAGTACAGGACTATGAGTCCTGTAGCAGCTGCCACACTGACACTGTCCTCAGAAGAAGCTGCTGGTCAACTCAGATAGGAAAATTCTCTAATTTCTTTAAGGTTCTCAACCTTCTTAGTGCTGAAACCTTTTAATACAGTTCCTCATGCTGTGGTGACCCACAACCATAAAATTATTTTGGTGCTACTTCATAACTGTAATTTTGCTACTGTTATGAACTGTAATATAAATATCTGATATGCAGCTTCTGCTGAGGCCGCAACAACAAGCTGAGAACCACCGCTCTACTATAATTCTCTTATCTGCATATTAACACATTCGATAGCATTAAAAAAAACAATGATAAATACTAAGACGTTCACACATTGCTGATATTCTTCTGGTTTTCTTTCACTCTCTTCAGCTCTGGCAGATCCGAAATGGAAGTTGCTTGCTTTACCTCTCCTTTGTATTTGACCTATAGAGGATATATAAGATTTTTAATAAACAGTATAGAGGGTTCTAAGTGACTACAACAAAGGATGGGGCTTAAATCCACTCTTGCTTTTTACACATGGACTTTCACAGTGGTCTCCTGATGACTCAACTCCAGGGATCAAGAAGTTGGTTATGTTGCTTAAAAGGAGATCCACAGCCAGGTGGCGCTGCACACCTTTAATCCCAGCACTTAGGAGACAGAGGCAGGAGGATCACTAAGTTAGAAACCAACCTGATCTACAGAGCAAGTTCCGGGACAGACAGAGCTGCACCCAGAAACCCTGTCTTGAAAAATAAAACAAAACAACAACAACAAAAGCTTTAAAAAAAGAGGGTGGGATGAGGGGGATACCTTTAGTAAATGGGCTATTCAGTGACAGAATGAAACCACAAAAAACTAGAATGAAGTCCCTGTGGCAGGCTGGTAAGGTGCTTTAATCTGTTTCTGGCCCTCAGGTTTCCACCTTTAAAATGTCCCTGACTTCTTCCACCTTCAGAGGTATTTAAGATAAACTATATTGACCTTGATTTTCCTTCTCCACTTGGGAGCACTTAATTTAAAGTCTTTCAAAGAGAGGATATTCTCACTATTGGGGAAAGTTTCATAAAAGGGTTCACAAAAGTAAAAGGAAACTACTTAGGATTACCCTAAAGAGATTTCTAAATTCCAGGACAACTGAGTTCAAGTCCCAGCTTTGCCCTTATTTGCCTTGGCTCTTTGCCATGGTCTCTGACTCCTCAAAATTCAGTTTTTTACATCCATCAGTCAAGGAAATGAATAATGCTAAGCTCAGGAGCTAACATATGATATTAAAAAAAGAGCTAGCCCAGAACAGAGGTCCCTGTCCATTGTTAACTACAATAGATGATTACAATAGATTATTAAGTGACTGGCTGATGTCTTCCATTTCCTTCATTAGGTACCTGGCCTTGTACTATGCCCTAGAGTACCAGACAACCCAAGTCTTCCCTTGCCTTATCTCTAATATTGTTTTCCCTCCCAATACATAAGCCACCCTACTTCCCAGCTTCACACACACACACACACACACACACACACGCACACACACACACACACACACACACATTTAGAGATGTAGCAGTAAACTAAAAGAAAAAGATGTAGTTCTTGTGGATCCTCGTGTCCTGAGTGTTTGATGAAGACCTTTTGAGTAAGAAGGCATGATGCAAACTTCCTGATCCACACAAGAGTAATACTTCATGCTCTTCAGTGTGTTGATGTGGAAATAATGCCCAAAGGGCATTCCGGATTTACTGATTCACAGAAAGCATTTTTTAAAAATAAAAATCCAGCATGTTAGATAAAATATAAAAGAAAACAGAATGACTTGCCGCACTCAGCTGCTCCTGGTTCCTCCTCACTCTCTCTATCTCTGGGGTCGTGTTTACCGGAGTGGCCTTATAGTTTTGATCTTTATACTGGAACTGGGGAACAAAGCATAAGACAGTTGGAATCACGAGAAACAAATGTGTACCTCTGGGACATACTAAAGGAAATATCATGTGCCACAGATCATTCAAACTTATCTTTTTTCCCTCATATAACAATAGCCTTTTTAAAATGTTTAATTTTTTCATATACTGTACTTTGATCATATTCTTCTCCCCCTCATACCTCCCAAATATTCCCCACCTCCCTACCTATCCAACTTCATTTCTCTCTCAAAAAAGGAAAAAAAAAAAAGAAAGACTCCCCCAGAAAAAGCAGTAAGACTAAAAATACCAAAACAAAGTGCCCACATACAAAACAACAACATGTGTCCTGGAGTCCGGCCTAGAGTGCGGCTGATATTCCATTACACAAGGCTGATTCTCCCCCTCTCAGCAGGCATCAGTTGCAAACACCTTATTCGGTAGGACTTTGTGTCCATTTCTTCCATGCTTCATCTTTTTGAGAGAGAGACCATAGTCCTCAAACATTTCCTTGTTGAATGTTCTAAATTACTCCTTTCACTGCTAATCTTTACACTACATAATTTATTGATGGCTTCCTGATTTTTATTTCATCAGCGATAGGGAAATTATCCCTCTGTGAGTTTACCAGTTCCTGACATCAAAGTGATGTCTACTAAACTGCCGTCTTATATTTAAAATGCCTTATCCTCATCCTCATTTTAATAACAAGTTGTGTTAAGTGTAAAATAGACTCTTGCCACCCGCAGCATTGAGAAGGAAGGTCACAAAAATCCTATGCCTATTCTTCAGGGGCACATGGCCTCTGCTAATCTTCCTCACAGGGGCCTCAGGTTCTATCCTTACCAAGTTCCAGTGTTGGCTTATGACCTACTGCTATAGACAATGCCCTGGCTTACTGCATAGAGATCTTCTTTCTTAGCTGAGAGAAGGGATATGACTTCATTATCCATAGTGAACTGTGCCAGCAAGGCCACATCTCAAAAATTAAAGAAGCATCAAACAGAGAGTAATGGGTGGCGGGGGTGGTAGGGGGGCAGGGGGCAGAGGGGGTGGGAGGCAGGAGTGTCAGGGGGGCAGATCTGTTGAGAGTTTCTGACAGTTGCAGTAAAGATGGAAGAGAAAATCCTTTTGCAGGAAGCTATAGAGTGATAGTCAATGAGTTTTCAGAGTTTAAGTTCAGCCTTAGACATTGCACAGGCGTGCTCTTGAAATGAATGCTCTTATGAATGAGCATGAAAATGCAGAAAAACTAGAGAAGACTGGAAAATAAGTGGAAAAGGTTATATTTTTGACAAGGAACAACATTCTTTATACTGTTACTTGTGAGGGCATAGGTGAGGTCTCAGGACTGAATGATATAGTTTGGCATCTCATTTAATCATTATTGTTAGAAATATCATTCATGTTAGAGCTTGAACTAAAGATTTGTGGAGCAGCATTGCTGATAGCGAGAAACTACAGTGGCTGGTGAATGTAAACCCAGACATCAGACATTGTCCTGATTCTCCTATTCATCAATCTGTCATGTCTTTAAAGGCAGCATCTCTTTAATACTCTAAACTCTGTTTTATAGATGAGAATATTTTCTATATGACAGTCTATGAAAACCAAATAATATATGAAGTTCAAAGCTGGAATCAAATGTATCTGTCTGTCCTCTGTGGTCCACGGTCTCTCCATCACTGCACTGTTAACTAAACCTCCTGGATTCTGGTATCTGCAGCATGCCATGCCATGTAAACTCTATACATCTACACTATTACACTTATTTTTCTCAAATAAAGTTAAGAGTGCCGTTTCTATCACAAAAAGAAGACTAGCAACACTTTTTACCATCGTCCTGAACGTTAACGAGCCACACAACAGGCATTCTCCATAGGACAGCCTTATGATTAGTATTGCAATTCCTGTTCCACCATCGCCTCTGTCACCTCCCACCCAAATACTCATCACTTAAGGACTCTCAACTTGAATGGGCCTTGTATCATGAAAATACTTGGTTTCCCTACCAGGAAGGTCCTTTCTCAAAAAAGTCACCTGAATCATTCTTGAGTGTCTAACACAAGACTCCGGTGATGTTCCTTCTCCAAGACTGTTCCTCTGCCCTTGTGACATACTGTTCCGCATTTCCAGAACACTTTGCAAGAAATGTTACTACTTATGGTTTAAAAACATAGTACTTGTCAGGTACTCACAGAAACAGTACCTTCTCCACAAATACAAATTACTATGGCAGAATGTAAAACAATGCATAACAGCAGTTTCTGCCCTGTTTCCTCTGGAGACCTGGACTGCCCACAGCCCCACCCTCACCGCCTCTCTGGCTGAATTCCCCCACGGGCAAGAACAGAGTGGACCTTCAGTCACCAATGCCCAAGACGCACTTCACGGAGAGCACAAAGCAGTATGGAGTGTGACCTCCATCGCCAGGGAATGACACAGCACAGTGGCATTGCCTGTGATGGGATGACACCTGCACTCCCGTCATATACTGGTACTTCAATAACAGGAAAAACATTTAAGTCAGGATGATCGAGTTGATGGTGCTCCTCTTGTTCCCTGTAACCCCTTCACTCAGGAGCATCAGAAATGGGTGCTGCATATTCAATTCTTTCTTCAGATTTCACCTGAATGATTTCTTCTAAAATATCGATCATTTATTCTACCCAAAGCTTAAAACAGTTAAGAATTCTTTGATTGTCATTATTGTATAATTGAGGGTTTTTTCCCCAACATTATATTCCCTTTAGTAGGAAAACAGTTTCTTATATTGTTTGGTGCTTTTCTAGGTCCTTTGTTCTGAAGTGCAAATAAATTTGATGGATAGTGACACTTATCTGTCACTATAGGTGCCCTTCACTTAATGTAAACAAACACTGCTGTGACTATAAGCTTTACAACTAAGCACGTGTACAAAATATCTTGGAAATTATCATAATATAATGATTTATTATTTTCTATCTGTGAAGCAGTTCTATCTATTAATGTGTCAATTTTAACCTATTGTATATTTAAAGACAAAAATCAAATAACATTAACCTCAGAGTCTTGGCCAATATTGCACTTCTGACTGAGTGCACATAGGAAATCTCGAAGAGGAGGAAAGGAAATGCGGCTGCCATATAAGGGAAGAGCGGTGACAGGCTCTGAAAACATAGACCAGTGTGCCCTGTACATTCTGGAAAAGAACAGAGCCAGCGGTCAGGAAGAGGCCTCCACATGCACCCAGATCGTAAGGCACTGTGCTATGGCTTGACAGTGAAATGTTCCCCACAGGCTGGCTCATGTGTTTTTACACCCTCTGTCAGCTGATGGCAATATCTTGGGAGTCTCGGAAATGTATTCACGGGGACAGTAGCTGGGCCAGCTGAGGACTGCAGACTACAATAATAGGCACCCGGCTCTGGTTTCCTGGCTAGGCACTGAGATGTTACCACCAAATATTTCCCTGCTATGCAGTAGCCCACAGGCATGTATTCCCCATGATGGACTGTAGTCCCTCACACCATGAGCCAAAATAATATTCCCACCTTTAAGTGGCTTCCTGTCCAGTATTTACTCACACCATGCAAAGAGGTCACTAGCTCACACTCATTCCATCCATGAATTTCCTCTTAAGGTAGGAGGAAAACCAACTGTACAAATGATAATACAAGGTACAAGGGTTAATTAAGGAAACTAGTAAGATCTTCCTTTTCAGGTAACATTTTATAACTGAAACTCATAGAAGGCGGGACTCCAGGCAAAGAGAACCTACCTACGTAAGAACTGAAGTGCACATGACAAGTTAGCCAGGATTTAAATCTACACCAAGTAACTTTTAGAAATCACTCGGCAATGCTTAAAATTATTAAAGCTGAAATGGAGGCTGGCATGAGGCACTAGCCTTCAGGCAGCATCTGTTTTATGGTCGGTCTGTGGATTTAATGTGAGTGAAGATGCCAGTATCAACCCAGACCCAAAATAGTTAACTGCAAAGTTCACCGAGACAGGTTTCCTCTAAATTAAATTCAAAAACACATCTTAGCACAGAAAGTTAATAGCAAAAAGGCTTGTCCTCGGAGGTGGAAAATGTCGGGATGTTTAAATGTTAGTGAATCACCTCCTGGTTTGACAGATCAGGCTAATCTTGAAAGGCCAAGTTTCCATTTGAATATTAAGCAGGGGGTTATGGCCCAACCTCAGAAATACAGAACTACACATTTATTGATTGCTAGAAAAAGATCAAGGGAGGAGAGATGATACACTGTATTGTCTTATGTGATTTTGTTGAGGTGAAAAGCCCAACACAAATAGTAATGGGCATTTTTGTTTTTCAAGATTCTTTATAAAAAGCACAGTCATTTATTTTCCTGTAGGAGAATGACTAGACATCACACACACACTAGGACATTTATAACTGATTACACTGAGAGGTGCATTTCAGACATTGTCACCGCAAAGGCAAAGAATGGAACATTTTACACTTCTTTCCCAAACTAAGGTATCTGTCAGATTCAAGTGCTGCTTGATTTGGATTCCCATAAAACAGAACAAAATGTCGTTTTCCAGGTCATCTCTCTAGATGCTATATTCAGGAAGGGCTTCCTTTTTGTAGTGCAGAGATTTGAGTGTACTAGCATTCTGTACAATTTTTAGAATTTCATGTTAAAGTATTTATCACCTTGTCCCTCCTGGAATTCCAACAGGAACCACCACCCAGGCATATGCTCCAGACACCACCTTACTCTGAGTTAGCACTGATACATGTCATGAAAGCAGTTTTATTTGGTTGGCTTAAAGGAAAGTTCTGGAAGGTTGTGTCTCCAAGACCAGAGGTGAAGAGATGGATCAGGAAAGAAATGCTGAGGAAAGAATCAGTTTTCACAGCCACAAGAAGAAACTAAATACATGAACACACAGAGATGAACCCCACTCCTGGAAGGGTAAGAATTATCTGCTCGTCATGTCAACCAGTAAACGGGAGAAATTTTTCCTACAGCAGTAAATACCTCTCCTATCATTCCCCACAGTCAGACCCACAGTAGGGTAAGATCTTTTTACAATTTATACTCAAATAATGTGTTTTTCTTTGCTGAGTAAAGTAAAAGGAAAATAAGGCCAGGAAACAAAAATATAGCCAAACACCTGTGTCTGAGAAAGGCTCAGAAATGTGATTGACACAGGATGAAAATGACTTGGCACTACATTAAAAAGCAAATCTGTACCTTCACTTCAGCTACCAAATAAATGTACTAAGCCCTTTGATCATTTCATTGAAGTAAAATTCCTTTGCTCCAAGAGGTAGGACAATATTCAACGGACCCTTTCCCTGTAAAATGTAACACAGCTAAAATTCTGTTCTGAAAGATGAAATGTAATTCTGGATTTTATTAAAATGGCTCATGTCTTCATTACTGCTTTCTAGGTGAAATGAAATGGAGCTCCGGGTTCAAGGGGAGCAAAGTTTTCACTCTGGAAGGTAGACCTTTGATAGTTGATGACCTCATCTTTCAGGAAAGTGAAGAATAAAAGAAAAGAACTAAAAACATGCATGTAGCCCCTGTCCCTCTTGGCAATGATGCTGGATGCTATGGAGAACTTACAGAACTAATGTTGTGCTGGTTTTTCTTCACTCGTTCAGTCTCCGGAGTGTTCCTTAGGGATGTGCCAGCTCCTACACCGTCCTTATAGAACACCTTCACAGCAAGGAAAGGAAAGTAAGAGCTGTCAGCCTATCAGAATTCATGTCCTAGATCTGCCTGTTACAAAAGCAAGATTATTTCTCAGGTTTTATAGCAGTGTGAATGCTGGTTTATTTACAGGTAGCACAATACACGTATCGATGAGATAGTCCATTATGATAATAAATGCTAAATTTGGTTTCAGATCTTATAACCTTCTTGCCCAGTTAATACTTGTTCTGAGGCATAATGAGTACCTTAGCTGGGGGTAGATTATTTACCCTAAGAATCTAAATTGGCAACCTACAGTTTCCTATTTCAAATACAGATATATGGCACACTCATTTTTGAGAAAAAACAAACAAACAAACAAAAAAAAAAAAAGCACATGTCAGAGATTTTCGCTCAGCAGTTAGCATTTGATCCTAAACAAGGGAGGTTTCACACCACCGCTAATCTTCCAAATACAAAAGTCCTTCACTCTCTCACAGGAAAACACTAATTGTATCGCCAATATTAGCCTTGACTCACTTATTTTTCTCACCTTCCCCCTTCTCTCCACCCCTGACCTCTACTCCTTCCAAATACAAAGAAAAACAAAAACAAAAGTTTGCCAGAGAAAAGCAGCAGCCCTAGAAAGTCACATGAGGACAGAGTGATTCCCCTACAGACACTGGCTAATCCAGTGAGCCTCAGGAGTAGGGGTGACCTGAGGTGAAAGAGATGAAAATCGGGGATCACAAGAGGCCGGAGCAGCCATTTCTCTAATCTTTCCAGTGAGAACTGCCCATCTCTTGGAACAGCCCAGCCCATCTTAGGGAGATCCTACACTCACCAGACAGCCTGTCTGTCCAGAGTGAGCCAGCCAATTAATTAGGAAAAGGACAGCACTTCAGAAGTCCTCAATCTTAATGGCATTTGTTTTATTATTCCTTTTGATTAGACATGTGCTTAAATACTAAATGACTAAGACAATTCTATATTTGACTATATGATCCATTTGATAATTTCATCACAAAATTCAAGTTTATATATTTATCAATTAGCACAGACATACCTCCTTAATACAACACAGGCAATTCCTGTTCTTCAAAATAAAAAAAGAAAAGCTTGTGGGCTGAAATAGTAAGGCTTTAAGTATGCCCTCCATGCAAATTAAGTGAAAATCGACAGAAACGTTCATCTTCACAGTAAATCAGTGTAGAAGACTGATGCTTTTCCTAGGCTAAACTCCAGTCAACATTTGTCATTTGTACCTAATACAAAATTTGGATTTGAAATTCCAAAACAATTTTAACAATTAGAATTTATGAGAATAATTATTTTTATTTTGAAGAAATAGATTCATCTAATGGAAAAATGCAAGTAATACAGAAAAAATATCAGGCAATGAGGGAAAAAAACACTTACAAAATATAATATTTTAGAAGTGGGAGAATTGTTGCAATATATTTCAGAAGCTGAGCATTTGCTTAGCATGAACAGGAACCTGGATATAATTCCCAGAGTCACAAAAACAAAACAAACAAACCACAAAAAAACCAAACCATTAATTTCAACTCTGAGGGAAAAAAATACAAATTGGGCATCCCTCTGAAGACCAGGCTGGTCTTGAACTCACAGAGATCTGCCTGCCTCTGCATCCAAGTGCTAGGATTAAACCGAGCACCTCTGTGCCCAAACTGGGCATCCCTAACCAAAATATCTGAAAGTTAGACTTTCTGACAAGTGACTTGACCTCTGTGCTGTGTTTCCATCATAGCACAAGTGCACTAAAAATAATACATGGAGTTATTTTGGCTGTGTGAATAAAGGGTATATGAGCCATAAGTGACCTTTATGTTTAGACCTATGTCTCCTCCCCACTATAACTTATATACATGCAAACATTCCTAAATCCAAACAAAATCCGAAGTATGTCTGGCCCCAAGCTCTTCATACAGCAGCTACTCACGTTGCTAATGTTCTGTTGTGTCGTCTTGACTCTCTGGATTTCGGGAGTATCTGCCACAGTGGAATAGTTGGAAAGCATTTTCCCAGCTTCATCTTTATACTTTCTCTAGAAATAGAAAATCATTACAAAGTGAAAGCTCTGTGTGGTGGGAGGAGAAAGGGACATGGCGCTACCTTCAACTCTATCATACCATGTGGCAGTGACTCATAATCTAAGATTCAAAGTAGCTGTTGACACACCCACTAAAGTCAAGGGTGTTAGTAAGTGGTCTATCACAGCAGCCACCTTCCACAGAGCCTACCATGCTCATTCTGGTCCACTGAGATACCTCAGGGAGATCGACTTCTACGTCTTTCCTAAACTTGAGATCTACTCTTCTGTGGGCGAGCAAACTCGGACTCTGCCTGAGCATCTCTGGCATTGCTGACGTTACCCAGTTCTGCATATCTACCTTGTTGTGATTTCTGGATTGGTGTTTTGTTTGTTTGTTTGTTTGTTTGTTTACTGTTTTCGGTAAAGACTGTTTTTGTAGTTAAGATTATTAAGCATCTCAAGTTCCTCTCCAGTAAATGAGCTGCAATGAGCTCCTTTAACAAAGCCTGGGTTTATGTCATGATGTAACTGACATCGTTTTAAATACCCAACACACATTTATTTATTTAGTCAATCCCACAAACATCGTTATCAAATGGGGACACTGAGGCACCAGTCAGCAAGCATGGGAAGTGAGACCAACTCACTCTTGTTGGGGGGGGGGGACTGTGAAGCACACAGCCACTTGGCAAGCAGAGTGGGCACTGTGGCTGGTGAAGTGCCGCTGCCATTGTGCCCTTCCTCACAGACTCACACGTCCACTTGAGCATTCCGTGCACTTCCCTAAGGTCTGCGCTCAATCACACAACCCCTGTCTCCAAGTTCACTGTCTCCACACGGCATGAAGAAGGAGGGACAGAAACCTTTAAGACTATTCTAACTGCTGCACAGTCCTAGGTGACTGAGAAGCAGACAGCTCTCTCCACATTCCACTCCACCGTCTGATACTCCCTCCACAAACCAAATGATACTGACACTGACTGCCCTCCTTTAGCCAGAATTTGAACAAATGTGTCCAGTTCAGTTTGAAATTATTTCCATCACAAATTCCATTAGTCAGATTCAACTCCCTGCTTCTAGAACAATTTCATGTCGTTCGTTCTCCTCTGTTACTATTTCCACTGGAAAGTATTTTTCAGGTAATTTTATAGCAAAGATATGATTAAATAATGTGTATTTTCATCCAAATCAGATTTTCTAAGCAAGCTCTTCCTCTATAAATATTTCCTTTTGAGATATTATCTTTTTCTCATATTTATTTTTTTCAAAAGAAGCAGTGTATGTCTTCCCTTCATCATCACTGCCCACTGGGCTCCTCTTCCCCTTTCCAGCAGTGGCCTCCCTCACAGTCTCCTTTTCAACTCTCTTTCTTTCCTCTGTCTGTGCATATTTAAATCCATATTCTTCTTATGTGAGAAAACATGTGATATTTATTCTTCTGAGAATGTTCCCACCCTTATTCACACCTAGCTTTTTAAATTTTTTGGAGAATATGTGACATGTAGATTTGGCAAATAAATTTTACTAAGAACTCTTAGCTCCTCTCCTAATTTTTAGTTAATATTAATTTTCAGTTGATAATACAGTTTTCATTACTTTGTTTCATTGAGGGCAATTTAAAATATCATTCATTGTGAAATGGAAATAAAAGATTTTTAGAGTTATATTTCTGTTTTATGAGCAAATATTCAATGCAAGTATGCAACAGAGTTAAAAAAAAATAAGGTCACCAAGAACGGTGATGAATGCCTGTAATCCCAGATCTCAGGGAGGCAGAGGTAGGTGGATCTCTGTGAGTTCAAGGCCAGTCTGGTGTACAAAGCAAGTCCAGGACAGCCAAGGTTACACAGAAAAATCCTGTTTTGAACAAACCAACAAAGGTCAAATGTTCTTGGAGACCATGTGGGACTTTAGCACAGCACAATGGCCACTAAGCTGGCTCCATAGCCACTGTCCTTCTAAATAGGAATGCAAGTCAAGTTTCGTCATGGGGGTCAATAAAAATGCTCCAATGTTGAAGGCAATGTCTTCAGAAAGATGTCAGCCAAAAAGACTCTGGAAGTACACAGTGACAGGATTAGGGCACATTACTGCAAGCATCTTCATTGTCTACCAACCTGGCTGTAGATTTCAGATGCCCTCTTGGCTCGAAGCATATCTGGGATGTCCATATTCACTTGCATTCCCTTCCCCTTAATTTCATTCTCTAAGTCTTTCTTATATTGCTTCTAAAAGAACAGAAAATAATCTCAGCTCTTTGCATAACCTTCCAGGGTCATACAGCTATTTATGTGTTTTAACAGCAAAATGAGATGTGCACTCTTTCAGAGCCTTCGCCTGAGCCTTAGGGCTCACACCATCCTTACCTGGCTGGCCATCTCAGATGCCCTCTTAGCTCTCTGAACATCCAGAGTGTCTGTGCTGACCTGCATTCCTTTCCCTTTAATCTCTGTCTCCAGATCTCGTTTATAGTCTTTCTGTAGAAAATAAAACACACAGTGCTCTGCAATCATCTCAGAATGGTACTGAGAAAACATGATGTCATCAAGACTACATGTTCTGAAATTAAGCCTTTTTCTTTTATTTCTATATAACAAGATAGAAATGTGACATGCAGTAATGTATTTATACATAACCAGGAGGCTTTCTTTCTAAGCTGCATTAAGAAAAAGTACAGCAATAAATTGGGGAAATTTTTGTATTTCAATGATAAACTTGAAAATTTATTGGTGACTATATAATTCGGTTTGTGACTATCATTAAAGTGACTATAAAACTGTTGCTATTCTCCATTATTACAACTTACTACACTTCCATTCTAAACCATTGGGTTTATTTAGTATTTGCCCAAGTCTCTAACCCTATGGGGATCAAATAAACCATTCTACCCAATCCTTGGTTCTGCGTGGTTAGTTGAGGGGTGGGTGCAGCCCCTTTACTATAGAGAATATCAACACAGCCTTTCCTTTCCTTCCTAGATATGAATGACAACAGACACACCCTGATGGGGAACTGAGTCAGGAAGGCAAACAGAGTCATATGAGCCGTAAATGATGTATAACCTTTCAGAATGACGCTACACTCTGAAAAGGTATTACCAGGTAACCTCATCACTGTATGAACAAAACACCTTCAAACTTGGAAAGTTTAAAACAGCATATGATAACAGCTTTAGTCAGAAACAAAGATTATACTCACATTAAAATCACAACATGTGGTTTTTATGTTTTCCTCAAAACATTGGAAACACAAATATGCCAAGAAGAATATAGAGCAGTCCTACAGAAAATGTACTTCAAAAGTATTTATCATACCCTAGATTAACATGAAATGTGTTGTATTACAGGAATTAAGTGTATTGGGGTATGTCTGTGCATGCATGTGTGTGTGTGTGTGTGTGTGTGTGTGTGTGTGTGTGTGTGTGTGT